TTTATAAAATATTAAAAATTAAATATCTATGGGGCTTACGCCCCATGCCTCGGGGCTTACGCCTCGTTGAGGCATATGTAAAACGCATCGCCTTACGCCCCATGCCTTTTAAAACACTGATCACAGTATATGTAAAATAACGATGTCGAAGTTATTAATTTGGAGACTATAATTCCTAGCACATTTGTTCTTCTCCAAAGCTTTTCTCCCAAAATCTTTAAGAAAGTCAAGGTTGAAGTTGAAAGTAAAAGTTTATCTAAGTTTATTAAGTGTAAAACCAAATACACGATTTATATTACACCCTGTATATCTCATTTCTAATTTGATTTAATGAACTAAACATATATACGCTAAATAATTTCATTATTTTTTGTTTCAAGTATTATAGTTCTCGTATTATAATCCCAACATATAACTTGTTCAAGTTTTTAACCTAAATAAATGAAGGATATTTGTTATAAATAGAATTGTATTTAAGGTGAATGTCTATATTTTAGAAAAATTTTAGAGTTTGTTTCTCGGTGGTTAAGTTACTTTTTTCCTACAAATAGAGGGGATTTATTCCATTGTAAATGATCCCAAATCAATAAGAATCCTCTCTCTACTTTTCTATGAAATATTTTTCCTCCTTTTATTGTTTCATATCACGCGTTATGCACGAGACTCTAACCAATTGAGTAGATGCATCTACTTTGGTCACCAGCCTTTGGGATACATGCATGGTGTTCAGCATGTATATAATATTGAGCATAATAATTGCCAATTGTTCCATAAACTTCCTTCAGAAATAAATTCTGGATTGAAGGTAAGTATTTTATCTTATTTTTCTCTTCTAAACTGTTGAAATTTTATAATTTGATTTTAAATACAAGCAAAGACAACAAAATTTGATTATAACTCTAATAGAGTTTGTAAGAAATTATAACCACTCGAAGTGATAAAATTTCTCATAACTCATAATCAAATCCATGTATGATTGTGAGCACAAAAAGTAAAAACAGTCCCATTAAATTTGCTTCGTTCATTCGTGGCGGCAGTATGTGATAAGGCTGAACCCGTTTTGTAGTTGTACTATGCACGGCTGGCATGAATGGCTCATATCGTTGAACCCATGATTGTGATGATTCATTACAAACAACAGCTTTTGGTATTCGCAGAAGTCGTCTACAGAATATTAGAGACACTACCTACTTTTTGTCTGAAAAGAGAAAGAAAAAGCATCTGAGCAATTCCTGTCTTCCATTGTCAACTCCCCTTCTTCACTCCCCCCC